ATACCCCCGATGTCCACGTGATATTGCAGAGCCGCGTCAGCCAACACAGCCCCACAACATCCAGAGCCTTAAGGAACTCTGGGCGGATCTCATCCACCCCTGGAGCCTTGCCACAGAGGAGCTTTTTAACCACCTCAGTGACTTCAGCACCAGAGATTTAAGAGGCCAACCGATCCACAATGTCCTGAGGAGAGGTCAGCAGCACACCATCCCCACTATAGATAGTGTTGGTAGCGCACTGCCCCCCGCGTTCCGCTTGGACTGCCGGTACCTGTTAGCTGCCTCTGGAGTCCCACAGGCCAAAAAGACCTGATACGACTCTTTCTTCAGCTTGACAGCATCCCTAACCACCAGTGTCCACCAGCGGGTTCAGGGGTTGCCACCACGACAGGCACTGACAACCTGAGGCCTTCGACCACAGCTCTGGTCGGCCGCCTCAACAATGGAGGCACAGAGCAGGGTCCATTCAGACTCAATGTCCCCCGCCTCCCCCGGAACATTTTGGAAGTTCTGTCAGAAGTGGGAATTGAAGCTCCTTCTGACAGGAGACTCTGCCAAACGTTCCCAGCAGACCCTTGCTATACGTTTGAGCCCGCCTGGTCTGACCGGCATCCTCCCCCACCATCTGAGCCAACTTACCACCAGGTAGTGGTCAGTTGACAGCTCTGCCCCTCTCTTCACCTGACTGTTCAAGACATGCGGCCGCAGGCCAGATGAAACAACAACAAAGCCGATCATCGAGCTGCGGCCTAAGGTATCCTGGTGCCAAGAGCACATATGGACACCTTTATGTCTGAACATGTTGTTCATTATGGACAATCCATGACTGGCACAGAAGTCAAATAACAAAACACCACTCGAATTCTGATCAGGGGGGCCGTTCCTCCCAATCACACCTCTCCAAGTCTCATTGTCGTTGCCCACGTGAGAGTTAAAGTCCCCCAGCAGAACGAGGGAGTCACCGGAAGGAGCACTTTCCAGCACCCCCTCCAAGGTCTCCAAAAAGGGTGGGTAGTCTGAACTGTACTTTGGTGCATAAGCAAAGACCACAGTCAGAACCCGTCCCCCCACACGTAGGCGGAGGGAGGCTACAGCTCCAAAACATCACTGCTCTCGAGAAGATCTGCATGGAGGAATGGGCTAAAATACCAGCTACTGTGTGTGCAAACCTGGTAAAGACCTAGAGTAATCGTTTGACCTCTGTTATTGCCAACAAAGGTTATGTTACAAAGTATTGAGTTGAATTTTTGTCATTGACCAAATACTTATTTTCCACCCTGATTTACAAATAAATTCTTTCAAAATCCTGCCATGTGAATTCATGGATTTTTTTCCCCACATTCTGTCTCTCACAGTTGAAGTGTACCTATGATGAAAATTACTGACCTCTGTCATCATTTTAAGTGGGAGAACTTGCACAATGGGTGGCTGACTAAATACTATTTTGCCCCACTGTATATAATTCATCATAAGAGGTCTTTGGGCTGCTCTTTGTCTGATCCCTCACCTAGGACCTGTTTGCCATGGGTGACCCTACAGAGGCAGAAAGCCTCAGACAACTTAGCTCCTAGGATCATTGAGACACTCTAACCCCTCCACCACGGAAAGGTGGCAGCCCAGGGACAGGCTGGCTCCTTACCATAAATGAGTGTTTGACGAGACATTTGGTGAAAATGTTGTTTACATCATTCAGACTGCATGTAGATACACACTATTAAGCTAAACTGACACACTGATAACAAATATATGTATATATTATAATTTTTAAATACATTATTCCCTGTGGATGAGCCACCACTAGTGACCGCAATGAAACTTTTTTTAATGATGTTAACTGTACTTTATTTATTTGTGGCTATCCTCTGTTGTTTGTTTGGTCTCTTCTTCCTGCTGTATTCCTGCTGGACATCAGATAAATCTGCCTCCTAAACGTCCTGTGGTCAGAAGACAACTGCAGTGGTATTAGATAGCAGTCCAGACAAAGCCCTCCTGGGGGCTTTTGTGCTTTACAGTTTACAAGAAGGAATTATATAAACTACATCTGTGCTTCTCTGTGTCAGTTCTATAGATCAAAGTTCTTAACAATAACTATTTCTACTCCCTCTTTCAGAATGGGGGTTAAGGAGGACAAAAAGAAAACATGTGGAACCATCTGCCTGAAATACCTCCTGTTTACTTTCAACTTTCTCTTCTGGGTAAGTTTGTATCTGGCTGCAAAAACATTATTCTCAGCATTCCCCATCCCTCAGCGGTAACTGCATCCCACTTTAAAAGGTCAGATTTCCTTCTTTCAGTGCATGTACTGATGTTTACCACCTCTTATCATCTTCAAGCTTGAAGAATAAAGCCAGATTGCCCATTTCAACAGAAGATGTGGAGATTGCATTTAGGCCCCAATTTCACTAAATCTTTCGGTGGCATAAATAATACGGCACTTTCTACTCGTATCAGAATTTGCATGTGTGTAAAATTAAAATCAAACATTAGTGTTGGCGTGGGCAAAGGAAAGATGTTTCACTCAGTGTGAACTCACACTAACAGCTCAGCCCGTATGTGAAAATAGTCCGTCAGCCAAAGATCTTTCAAACGCTGGCAGCCAGCGTCATTTATTCTCTTTATTGCCAAATGCCAAACTGAATATTTTAGACTAGATCAAATTAATTTCTTTTCTTAGACTTTTTTTAAGTATTTGGTAGTTAGTGAATATATTTAGTGAAAGCTATGTAGGTAATTGTGGATAATTTAGTCTATTTGAAGATTTGACATGGATAAACCCTGTAGAGAAGAAGGCTGTTGTGGGGTCTTTGGGACTATGTTATGTTGAAACCACTGCAGTCTTCTGTGGAAAAAGAGCTGTGGTGGTTTCAGGAGATAGTTTGTCAGAGGAGTGGGGTGATAACAGGATTAGGAGTCTTACTCATTAATATTCATACTATGATTGGCTAAAGTAAAGCAACTCTTCTGCTGCCTCTATTTGTTCTTGTTTCTTCAGTAAATGCAACATTGATCATTTCCATGAATAATACAAGCCTGAACATGTTCGGCCATGTTGTGGAGTTGCTAATGCTAACAGTTAGCTTCAGCTAGCCAAGATATGCTCTGGTCTCTCCTGGCTGCACAATCAACACAGATTTCCGTGGTCTTAAACAAAGGAGGGAAAGAAGAATGACGCTAATGTTCTTTGTGACGTAAAAGTGGCTTGTGCTCTCTGATCTGATGGTGTTTACATCTATTTCCTTTCTGTGGCTAGTACAGGTAATAGGATTGAAGACAATGTTCATGTTTAGCGTACATATGTATGGAAGCATATTACTGTCATCTTAGGTGTGTTCTTGCTGTGTCGTTTTTCTAATTCCATGCTGTAGTTCTTTTTTAAAACACAGAACAGTTTTGTTACCTGTTTTCCCGCTACGTTTCGTTTGCGGCTGCAAACTTCGTCAGGCGTCCACAAAACTGTTCTGTGTTTTAAAAAAGAACTACAGCATGATATTACTGTCAGTCTGGGGGCAAAAAAATTAAGGCTAATTATCTCGTATTAACGAGAAACTTTCTTGTTAAAACGTGAAACTTTGTTGTTACAACGTGATATAAATCTTGTTTTAATGTAATATGTTTCTCCTTTCAATGAGAGTTTCTTGAAAAAACGTGTTTCATAAATCGTAAAAGTGAGAAAGCTCTAAAGGGTGAAAAACCGACATCTGGATGCGAATCAAACTGATTCGCATCCAGAAGAAACAAATCATGATGAAGACAGAGAGAGCTTTAGCTTTATGTATTTTTAAGAAGTAGCAATACGTCAGAACATATTTCTCCACACTTTTTCCAGGTCATCCTCACTTTGAAAACAATGGAGGAAACGGCCTGAGCCCTCACGATTTCTTGTCAAAGCAAAATAGCGGTACTCCCGCTTTGTAGTTGGGTTGCAGCTTTCAAAGTAAAAGTTGACTTGCTGTTTGTGCATTTTTCACATGTAAAAACTTTTAAACTTTTCACATTCGCAAACAATATGCACAAAATATATTTCCGGCTATTACACTAACATGTTCTTTTTGTGTTGGTGTATTTATGCTATTTGCCTACAATTAAACACAACCTCTAGGTATGAAGAGCGTTTATTCTGTTGCCTTTGCAATGGGGTGTTCATGGCTCAGTCAGCAGAGAAGAGATCTCGTGAGCATAATTTGCTGATTCAAGCCTCGTAGATTGGTGCTTTCACAGCAGTGGGCCTGCTGCTGCTGTACTTTCTAAAGGTTTAACATCAAGAACTGGAATAGCTGCCTTGTTCATTCTGAGTATAACTCCAAAACGTATAACCGCCATTTTACTATTATAATCTTTCTCATTATTGCGAGCTATTAAACACGTTATTTCGAGAAACTTTCTCATTTAAACTAGATTTATATAATGTTGTAACGACAAAGTTTCACATTTTAATGAGAAAGTTTCTTATTAAAATGAGAAACTTTCTCATTATTACAAGATAGTGATCCTTTATTTTTTTACCCAGACTGACAGTAATACTTCCATAAATATGCAACTCAGAGTTGACCAAACATATTTAAAAAATGACAAGTATTATGTGGTTTCTCAGTGAATGAGACCTTGATAGCAACCAATGTTTGTGTGAACTTAACTTTCTGTGACCAAACTTCTTCCACTTTTCACTGTTTCTGCTCCCTGGAGACGAGATCTAAATACATTCTCTGGAAGAGTTGAGGACCAGTCACATTCTGGTTTCATTGCACAAAAATACGCACTACCTTTGAGTTGTAAATGAATTCCTTCATTTACTCAAGAAGAGAGATTACAAAACCTGTTAGAAATACGACTGCATCAAGAGGGCAGGCCTTACAGGAACTAGATGTCATCATCCCGTGACCAATACAGAGTAGCTGGATGGTATAGAAAAACAGCTTATTGATAAAAAAAATCAAGTTGATCGATATCAATAATTATTGAAAACTATATGAAAAATGCCGAAAATATATTTTAAGTGCAGCCGTGGCCATCTTAGGCCATTACTTTATGATAAAAGAAGTTGGTTGCATTACCAGGCTTGTTTTTTATCGATCCTCTGTTGCAAAACACCTTATGATTTTTATCACATTTGTAGGAATGAAAATATTGCTACACTGCTGAAGTACTGTAACCTTTTTTCGGGACTATTTCTTCCACCTCTCCTGGCTGCAACATCTTGTTTAAGTCACATTGCTGTCTGTTTAGGTTTGAGAGGGGAGGGCTTAGTGACTGAGCGTGCTTGGGTCTGTGTTTTTGATTGGTTGGGTGGAAGTAATGACTCTAGAATGAAGCTATCCAATAGACTATAATGGAAAAAAGAAACTTTTATTGATGTTTTTATTGATACATTTATTTCCTATTGAACCACATGTCTATTGATCGATATATATTGTTATTGAATTATTGTCCAGTCCTAGTACAGAGTAAACTACTATTGAATATTTTGTTTATGTTTATTTATTTATTTGGCAGACGCTTTTATCCAAAGCGAGTTACAATTTATAACCTGTAGGGCATGTTGTGATCTGTGGGGGAAACCGGAGTACCCGGAGGAAACCAACGCATGCATGGGGAGAACACGCAACTCCACGCAGAAAGGCCACAGCCGAGTTTCGAACCTGCAGCCTTCGTGCTGCGAGGCAACAGTGCTAACAACTGTGCCACCGTGCAGCCCAGTCCATTTTGTAAAGCAATCAAACAGAGGACCTATATAAAATGTACTTAATAAACCAGGTCATATCACTTATATTGGATCATTGTGATTAGGGCTGCAACAAACGATTATTTGGATAATCGATTAATCGGATGGGGTCTCGACACGATTAATCGATTAATCGGATTACATAGGGACATTTTTAAAAACTGCTAGGGAAATGTTATTTTTCTCCTTCCTTCACTTTATTAAACACAACATTATTAGAAAACAGTTCAATAGCAGAAAAACAACATGCCATCACCTAAATTGTCTTATAAGGTGTATAGACAGACACCCTAAGCTACACCTATCTGTGACCTAAAATGCTTGGTCCAATTAAACAGCTTAAAGAGCAAGTCAACCCCTACCAGAGTCTAACTCTACTCGCGCTTCATGTTTGAAAAATGCAACACATGCTGTTGCCTGGCAGACCGAGAGGGTGGAGCCGCTAACAAATACACACAGACTCAGGCTCACGACAGCATTGTGACATCATAATGTACCAGTTTACATCATAGCATACTTCTTAGCCAATAGCGGTGGCAGATTTAAATTAAAATACAGTGCAGAGTTTTTACCTGACAACGGCACAACACTGCCAGTTTTAGGCAGAATATTTAAATTTTAACTAAGATGCACTGAAGTGCCAAATTATTGACGACACGTGTCTGCAGCACGATTAGACACTCGTTTATTTAGTTTATCAGCAAAAAAAAGTTTATTTGGGGGTGACTTGCTCTTTAAGGGCAATTCTCATCTGTTTTGTTTGATCTCATCTGTAGACATTTATTATAATTGGGGATGTCAAACAACTAATTTTTAAATGTAATTAAACATAGGCTGTGAATTAATCAAAATTGATCACTATTTCCACAAATGACTGAAAAATACCAAATAAAACAAAAGTAAATGAATGCCATCCTCCTTGCGATGATGCCCTGGGCAACTGCCATAAAGTCACATCAAGAAATGCTGCTGATCATTCCAATGATCCCAAATAGACTCACATTAGGCCACATGAAAGCAACTGAACCCAAAAATATATTAACCAGTATATAACTGCACTCTCACACAACACGCCTGCAGCAACAGTTAGGACTCCTCCCTCCCTTTTAAAAGCGTTTTCGCTTCTGAGGACATTGTGGTTGTAAAGCCACATGCTAGTAGTCTGGCCCCGGTGCGATCAACCAGTTTCTGCGGGAATGTGACGGCGGAACCGGTTCGCAGCGGCGCGAGTCCACCCCCCACCCCCACCCCCCCCGCCTATCTAATAGCGTCGCGCTTACAATTTTATAGACTTTTTTTAACGAGCTTAGGGCTTGGGTAAATCACTTTTGAAAAGTTTTTAACTTACCCGGATGCAGAGCTCTCTCCTTCCTCGCTGATGATTCTGACATGCTTGCGTTTAAGACGCTGCATCATCACCGTAGTATCCCCGTGCCATGCTAAGTCTGACCTACAAACGTTGCATGTCTTCGCCTGATTTAACTGAAAATGCTCCCAAACTTTAGAAGTTTTTACTTTTTTTGGGGTCTCACTGCTTCTGCCATGTTCCTCTTTTACAAACACCTGCCAGCTCTCCACCGGTCTGTGCGCAACGGCGGGCGGGAGGGGAGGGGGCTTTTGGAAGAGTTGTGCAACACAACGAATCGATGACGCAATTCGTTGCCAACGCTTTTAGTAATCGATTTTCATCGAATTTATCGATTCGTTGTTGCAGCCCTAATTGTGATGTTTAAATTTAGTTTTACAGCTTTTCAACCAGACACACCACCAGGTGTCGCCAGAGCCTTCAAAAATTTCTCTTCTGTTCTTATTTTGGACACAATTCATCAATAATTGTGATTCACTCACGTTAAGAGTAGAAAAGCAGTATCCTCCATGACTGATCTCATTTATATTTTATTGATTTAATCTATTTTCATGGCTTTTTACATTTTTATCCAACAAGGCACATAAAACAGAACAATCTCTAGAATTAATTGTTCTAAGTTACAAATTTAGGACCCCCTACAATTATTTTAGAACCTCTCTGTAAGAGCTCCAGCGTGAAGGCCTCAAACATTTAGTTAATAAGACGTTTACCCATACGTTTACCAAGTGTTTTTCTGTATTAAGTGTAAATAACTGCTTCACTATTATTCATAAACTGCTTTTCCTAACAAGGCTGCAAAGTACAAAATAAAAATATCTTTAGTCTGTTGGTTGTTCATCTTTGATTTTCTGCTCATTTTCAGATGTTTCAAAGAAGAAAGTTGTAAACCTCATTTTGAAGATGGAAAGAATAGATAAATAGTTTTTATTCATGATATAAGACCCACCTCAGTTTTTCTCTGTTGTACAGTCTTAATCAATGTGTGACATCCGTAAGCTTGTTTTATGACTAAATCTCTTCTGATTACGTGCACACGCTAACTGTCTGACTGACAAATTTCTGTTTTAGTTTTAACATGATCTAACAGATTTATCATAATGATTTAATTATCTTTTCTCTTCAACCACAGCCGGAATATGCCGAACTGAACTGCTGGGTTTTAATTTAGCTTAAAATAATCTGTTTTCTTTCTATAAATATTTCATGAATGCTTTGGAAGTTCCTCATTACTATTGAGATTGAAAATAATGTTTATTTCCTTTTTTTTATACGGAGTTTCATTTGGGACAGTGAAGTCTGAATTTACTTGTGTTGCTCTCCAGCGTTCAGCCTGAATTGGTCCTCATCACAAATTATTCTCCCAGGTGGCAGGTGGAGTGGTGATGGCAGTGGGTGTTTGGACCTTAATGGAGAAGAGTGACTACATCAGCCTTCTCCCCTCAAATATCTACGCTGCCTCTGCCTACATACTGGTCATAGCTGGAGTCATCGTCATGGTAACAGGCGTGCTGGGCTGCTGTGCCACTTTCAAGGAGCAGAGGAAGCTACTGCTAGTGGTAAGAGATCACATTAAGGTAGAAAAGTAACAGAAGCTGCACACTGCTGATAACTAAAATCTGTTGCTTTTTGTAGCGTAAACAAAATTAGGAGTTTATGCCATTCTTCTAAATAATAGCTTTAACACACAGGTAATCTGCCTCAACATATACCCGTTTTAGATTGTATTTGGGTTAAATATACCAACTTTGATTCTAGGAAATGTAATTTTTGAAAATATAGCATCCTTGTGGTGTTGAAAAATATTATAAGTTGATAAATTGATTTAAGGAAAGTTAAGACCCATAAAATGTATTAAAGTCTTAAATAGGGCTGCACGATATTAGGAAAACCTGCGATATGCGATAACGGTGATTAATATTGCGATGACGATATTACTTGCGATAATTAAAAACTTAACTCTGGAACAAAAATAATCAGAAACAAAGAAATAAAAAAAAATGACAAAAAAATCATAAAAATGAGAAAAGCAAAAGATGTGAGGAACGGGAGAAAGATAATGAACAAGAAAAGGCAATCAGGGGATCCCGGGAAAAGCAGAATCAGCAGAAAGAGCGGAACAAAGCTAACTCGTGTTTGCTAACCATCAAAATTAAGTGCTGTTCACCTCGGGGATGGGCATCTAACCTATGAGAACCCACCCAATTGGCCAAATTGTCCAGAGCCGAGCCCGACTCCACAGCTGACAGCTGCATGTTCAGGTTATTTTCCTTGTTTTATGTTTCCACACACAGCGCTGCTAGAGCCGACAATAACGGCACCGTAGGTGAGCCCGGGACAGAGAGAACGTAGTCGAGTAAGGGAGAGAGAGACTCCTCCCACATCGGAGCACGTTCAGGCTGATTTCTAAAGCTTGGTTTATGCTTCATCAGCCCGAGTGCGGAGTCGCACAGTTGACTTGAAAGCTCAACTTCTCTTTTCAAAATGGTTTGAATGTTTCTGATGGCACACGTTAGTTCAAACAAGCTAACGTGTCAGAGTGTCTCTTTCAGTGTGTGCCTCTCTCTCACAGAGCTGACGTTTTAGTGAGGAAAAACTGTCAGACGGCTTCGAAAAACGTGCCTCCAGCCTGCTTTGGTAATGCAGGGAAAACTGTGCATTTTTTGTTATTTAATACATTTAAAAGCTATTTCTACCTACAGAGTTCCTCCATGCATTTTTGGAGTAGAACAAGTTTTTATAAAGCTCCTCTCTAGATTAAAATCACAAGCACAAGTTGCTTTACAAACACAAAAAAAAGATAATAATGGGAGAAAATATTAATAGCTTTAACTGTTTTATTGTATGATTAGATAGTAAATATTTATGTGAATGATTTGTTGTACTAGATTAGAATCTAGACCATCTGTGGATTGGCAGGCTAATGTTGGACCTTCGTTTGAAGAAAATAGTGAACTGAACCAAAATCGCAATTTCTGCTAGAAAAATAGTAATTCAGTCTTTTTCTAAAATCTTTCAGCCCGAATTCAGTATTTAAAAAAACATGACTGTTTAATAGCTGATTAGTTCATTGTGAAAAAGTCTTCATTTTATTTGAGAAGGCCTTTAAAAGTCTCAAAGGTAATACATTTCATTTTGAGATCCCTGCATATATCCCAAGTAAACAAAAACAAGTTACAGCAATTTAAATGCTATGATTTTTACTTCTTTAATATCTTCAAAAAGCTGCTTCCTTAAATGTTCAACTAAAGAGAACTACCTCATGGATGTCAGTGAGAACCTTAAATGAGTAATAGGTAAGAATTATAAAGCTAAATAAATAGTCAGACTCTACTTGGCCAGCACAGTACACATGTTCAAACGCATATGTTAGATGTGTGGACTTAAATCTTTCTGGACACAAATACTAAATGTAAGCTGGCATGGAATTAAAATGAACCAAAATAAAATTAAAAATCAGCTATTTTAATATTCATGAAGTGAATATTAATTAATTAGACACTGTTTACAGACGCAAAAACCGGAACTACTGTATAAAATACTGTAGTCCATATATATATGTGGATATAGATGTGTGTGTGTGTGTGTGTTAATGAAAACTGGTCTGTATTTGAAGTTATTTGTTTTAAATTCCATTGCTCACAAGGTGCACCACCTTTTTACTTTGCTTTGTTTCTTTTTTTAAATGCTCGATGTGTCCTGAAGGTTTGAGATAAGAATAATGAATCACAGTGAAAGAATGCACTTGTCTGCAAGGAGAGATGTTATCAGGATCGTTAATAGAGGGTGAACATAAGGGTGAGATGGAGGAGTGAGCAGTAGGATAATTGTTTTTTTCAGTGTGGAGTTCTCACTTGTTACATGCTGAGAAAACAGCGTTGGCATCACTGTCCTGTTAACCTAAAGGTCACAAGTTCTAACAACTAAAAAGCTGATCCTTACACTAAATCCCTGTTGGATCTTGCTGCTGCAAGGCCTAAATAAACCAGCTGCACTTGTTTTTTTAATAAAGGAAAGGACGTTTAGAGAGGATTTTGGAGATGTTTGTTCTAAAAAAAGGTCAAAAGTACAGAGATATAAAGAGCAAATGGTCTGGTGGGACACACACACACACACACACACACGCACGCACGCACGCACGCACACACACACACACAGTGTCATTGTTTTGTAGGAGGAAACAAGCAGAGCTGAGTAATAACTCGGGCTGTGGAGGGAGAAGCCTTTTTCTTCCAGAAGACGAAGCTAAATGGAAAGTGTAGGTCCACCTGTGGAGAAGCTGACTTCATGCAGTTGGACTGTAAACAGTGGAAGTCACACTCTCTGGCTGTTTTAAGCTCTATGTCTTTATTATATCTGTTTGTTTTCTTTTTATGCTTCTCTAAAATGGCGACTTTGTTAATAATGTAATGAATGTGCGTTTAATAGGATAAAAAAAGTTCATCCTTCAGGATGTGATAAGGTGACTAAACTGATTGATTGATTCTTAATAAAAATGTAGATCAATCTAATTTTTGTTCTTTTGTTACACAAAATCCTTTATTTCCCTGTTTCTCCATCTATTTGTTTTTGTTTCTCAACGGTTGTGTTGTCTCTTTATTATCCTTAAGCATTTGTTGCTTTTCTTTCCCTTTATTGATATTCTGTTTTATCTCTGATGGCCGACTAGCAGAGCAGCAAACAGAAGCAAAGGTAAAAGAGGTTGGTGCGTTATAGTTTTATTTGGTCAGGACCGCTCAGCAGGAGGCCCACCTGTTCAGAAACCTGATGAGGCCTTCACCTCATGACTTAGTTATGGTCACCGCTCATGAGCCCCTGAGTCATAGAGGCTGTCAGGGCAGCCTTTAGCCTTTATCAAGGGTGAGATGAGATGTTGTGGGAACAGAATTTAGCATGGTCAAGAATATTAAAGCATTTGAATAAATACGGTCCACACACACATGCATTGTGTTGTTTATTGCATAGTGTTCATGAACACTTTGAAATCAGCAAACTCTTTCTGTTTGTGTGTCTGTTTTTATGCACAGCTAAGAGAGGAGATTAAAGCCACAAATCACTGAAAAGGAATGAACTTGTCAGAGGAGAGGGAGGATTGCAGTAGATGGCTAAAGATTGAGTATGTGTGTGTGCGTGTGTGTGTGTACCACTCTGACTTAATGTTTCATGTCAAAAGAAGCTAATTTGTGGAGTGACATTCTGTCTGAATATGGCATCATTAGCCCCTTAAAGTCATTTTCAACCAAGATCTTTTATTTATGAATTTCTGATTTCATGAAACTGCAGCTGCCATCTCCCATTTGTTTCTCGCAGCGAATCGTAATGGAAACCATGGCGGCATGGATGTTTCCTTATTCTGTTGACATGTTTGCAGAAGAAAAAATTCAAGAGCTCACAAAGATTCTCAGCATTTTAGGGCTGAACCAAAGTTTTTTTGCACCTTTTGAGAGAGTTTAATTTGAGGCTTAACATTAAAGCAGGCAGTTATTTCATTCTGGAAATTGTTCTTTTATTCATTGAGCTACTGATGAAATTTTTACTTTTTAAAAGGGGTGTACTCATTTATGCTGAGCACTATCTAAACTGATCATCTTTTGAGGCTGTGTTGTTCTGGAGTGCAAAGGCAAATTTAAGCTTTCAATTTACTGAACTGGAAAAACAGCCAAACTTTGGCCTATAAGAATAAAAGTTTGGAGAAAAATCGGACACAAGAAGTGGAAAATACATATTTTTTCTTCTCATCTGAGCGACTCATTCACACAGCTCACATAGACATCAGACTGTGAAGTCTAGCACCAATGCAGAGCTCTGAAAAAGGTTTAATGCAGTACATAGAAAGCTTTTAGCAGTAACTCTGTCAGGAGCTACTGTGCTGTAGTGCATTTTGGGAGAAAAATGGCAGCTCAGATGAAAAGCGAGTGCAATGGGCCTGCCATCATGAGGGGCTCTCTTGAGTCTCAGCTGTTTGATTTTCAGCAGCTTCTGACTCCCGTCATACTGTGTACATCACTCCTAATGTGGAACCGGCTTACAGAGGCCGTGGAGGACACTTGAGCCAGAGTTTGATAGGTTTCAGTGTCAATTGCAACATTTCTCAGATTTAATGCTAATGTTCATTTAACTAGACTTGAAACTATAAATTGAGAAAAAGTGAGAAGTGATTTAGTGCAATACATTTGTAAAATATTAAAGCACGTGAATTAAAAACAAAGAAACTGATTTTGTCTGTGTATTTGTGCAAAATACTACTAAATTCAGAAAATGGTATGATTTATGTTAACTAATCAGATCTATGTTTCTGTTTAATGAATTCAGGCATTTTATTTATAGGCACCTTTCATTAAAAACAATAAATACCAGCAGCTCTCTGTGTTGCTGATCTTCTCTGCAGCTGGTTATTTTAGCTTCTTTTATGAGTAAATTTAAACATTTACTCCCTAATAGACCTTCAGGCTCAGCATCAACATCCAACCCGCTCAGTATTCCGTCTGAGAGCTGCTCAGAGATCTAATCAGCCCCAAGCCATCAAAATCACAGAGCAAGCCCATCTCACATGGTCCTTTTTTCTCTGTGACAGCTGCAAACAACAAGGAGTTTAGGCCAAGGTCTGAGTCTGATAATATCTCGTCTGTTCAGGTCTGGAGAGGGAAGGTCAGCCCTACCGTCCCCCCCTCGGCGTTTAAACAAGACCCTCCAACTCACTACCTTTCAATTAGTCATGAGTCAAATTCAGATTTTAACTCCAAAGAGCCGTCCTCTCTGAAAAGAAGAGCACACACATTTTTGAATTAGTCAATTTGCACACTTTAATGCATTTGTACTTTGGGGGAAAATAAGACTTATTAAAAAAGAGACACTCCTGACCTCTCTCGGGTTTTTTTCTGATGCTGAAACATAAGACATATCTTTTACATCAATAATACTGTTGTTGTTCAGGAAAGCACATTTACACACGTTTGTTTCTCCTGTGTTTCCTCAGTACTTGATCCTGCTCGTGTTCATCTTCCTATTGGAGATCCTTGCTGGTGTCCTGGCTTACATCTACTACCAGCAGGTAATGCCTCTTTTTGTTAACATAGATGAATAAAAGACGTGATGAAATGTGTTCAGATGTAGAAGCGCAGTGGCTAAGAGGCCGGCATACCGGGGGAGCAGCTGTTGATGTCACATAACGAAAATGTAATTTGGAATAAACACGTTAGGACGCAGGTTTTAAATTATTCACAAAAGTTAGTAAATCATTTCCGGTTGTGGCTGTGTACGAGTCTACTGCACACAGGCATCATCTGGTTTGACAGCCAGATGTTAAAGTGTGCAGTAGATGTAGTTCTGTAATCTGAGCACGCAGGACAGGCTTTGCGTCTCCTCATCCAAGCATGCGTGAAAAGCCTTGTAACAGAACACGGACAACTGTTTCTGTTCCCACATGGCGTGTGCTGCGCTATTATTCTAACCACAGCAAAACCAGCATTAATAAATGAAGTTGCTAGAAGGAAACACAAGATGACCCATTAAAAATACAAATATCTGGCTGGCCATATTACTCGTGGTACATTTGGCTCAAATGGAAAGAAGAAATGCCTCCAGTAGTGCACACATCCAGGCTGAATGCCCTGTCAGAGGCATTAAACAGCATTTGTTGTGATTTTTTGAACGGATGAACATTGGAGTATTGTAACATTTATTGTAAATATTTATTACATATGTACTAAATAGGAATATTGTAGCTCACATGAGGAAGCTAAAACGCAGCTTTCTCTAGATGTCATGCATTATTGTTAGTAAGAGAAAATTAAGAGTTTTTTTTATTTGTATTCAATGTTGACAAGACGCTGTTTTTCAGCAGTAATTTTGCCGGGTGGCTTGTAGCCCAGCAGCAGGCCGTTTCTCAGCCTCAAGGCATCCTGCTATCCGTGTAGCTGCCTCATTCATTAATTATACCAACTTATGAGCAGCCACAAAGGTCTCAGGCTTGATCTTGCTCCACTCAGCCCGCTGTTCTCATTTCAAAATACTAACAGTTCTACTTGGTGCCGAAACCTTTAAGGCCTCTCTTAGTTCCCTTTGCGTATTTGTCAAGCTTATTGAGTCAAGTTGTTATCTATTTCAAGATGAAATATCAACAACTCATAAAACCTGCATGTAGCTCATCATCAACCGTAACGATTAAGACCTATTTGATGCTATAGTTAACTCAGCACTGCGTCTGTATTTTCTGATCAGCTGTTTAAGACATTTTCTCACAAACTTCCCCATCATCCTTTTTTTGTGAGATGGAGTGTCACCTCATGATAATTGCTTTAAACTTAAATTGTCAGCAGCAGCAGATCTGTAGATGTCAGTGTTGCTGTTGTTTTACAGTGTTATTAATTAATGTTTTAATTGGAAAAACATTTTATAGTAACTTCAGGGTGAACTTCATGGGATTTCAATGTACAGTTTCAAAATGTTCTAACTCTGTCTTTACTGGCAGCAGCAGCAGCTAATACTTGTCTAAGATTATTTATATTATTTCCTTGTTAACTAGCTTATAATTGATATATTTAATTTATTATTAATTTAGTATTACTGGACTTTCTCAAGTGATTTATTTATTGTTATCAAATTAATTACATTTAACTTATTTATGATCATTTGTTATCATTACTACTTATCTCATTCGTGTGTTAACACACGCCTGTATACTCCAGACAAGCTTACGTCTAAAACGTCCACGTTCACAGAAACACTTACACTTAAGGATATTATCCGTAAAGCAGCAATCTGGAGATTTTCCCCTCCCAGGAATTACGAAGGATCTTTTTATAGAAATGCCTAAAAGTGCAGCAAAATTGATAGTATTACCCTGTACTGTGATATAATGTGGGCAAAATGCCCCTGTCCCATTGAGCTCCGTGCAATTCTAACTGAGCTCTGCTCAGCATTAGCCAATGACATTAGACATCTGCTTATGTACAGATGTCAATCTCAGAGCATCCATATGAACAAACAGCATAACATGAGAATAATAATTGCAAAACATGTTTTAGCTCTATTGGCTGGCTAAAGGGGTCCGTTCACAATCATGGATGTGGGGAGAGGGGCTTAAGGTGTAGTACATTTTTCAGCCTCTAGATGGTGTAGTCATTCAAAATTTATTTAGCTGTTTGTGGATTTTGGTTTAGTTTTTGTGGAATTTCACTCATGAAAACTCTTTTAAGATTGCGAAAAATAAAATCTAACATTATTCCAGAGAAGTTGTGCTAATTTATTTTAATTTATTTTTAATAATCATATTAGAAGCTTCAAATTTAAACAGAACCTCCTCTAAATGTCACTGGAACTACAGGTTTATGATTCTAGCGACCTTCTCATGAGTGCAGTACCATAAGGCCATTAACCACTGCACCAGCTGTTTCTACTTCACCACCTTTCCCAAACTGTCAACAGGTTAAATGGAAAGCTAAATTCTGCCCCCACCCCTCCCCCTTCTCAGTCCCTATCTTCCCCATTCTCCTTTCTTTGTCTTCACCTCCTTTCTCTCATCTCTCTGTCTTTTTGTTCCTCTTTTCATCATTCATTCCCCTGATATCTCCTTCATGCTTTGATTTACTGTGGTTCCCCCAGCTGGCTTGTTGCCATAGAAACTGAGCCCCACAGACCTCCTGCTCCTCCTGTGAGCATCTTCTGCCACTGGTTTAAAGAGTGGAAAAAGAGAGAGAAAGACACGGCCTCACCTTTCCTTTGCCCTGTCTGCATTTTTGTGAGAACTGCCATCCGCGATGCGCATCGGCAGAGAACATTAATCCCCTGTTATAAATTAACTAACGCACCACTTATGAGCATACACTGAGTTTGCCTCAGATATTCATGTTAGGATTATGATCAGCTGCTGCTGTATAATAAGAATGTGTGTGTGTGTGTGTGTGTGTGTGTGTGTGTGTGTGTGTGTGTGTGTGTGTGTGAACAGTTAAATGAGGAGCTGAAGCAGAATCTGAAGAACACCATGATCGAGAAATATGGTAAAGAGGACTCTAAACACATCACCAAGGCTGTAGACAAGCTCCAGCAGGAGGTGAGTGAATTCAGTTGATGCCTAGATGGATGGATGGATGGATGGATGGTGTGTTTTCTCCATATGGTTAAGTGTTGTTATGAAATAAGCCTGTTAAGCTTTTGGATCCACATTCGAAGTTTGGAAATTGACCATTTATTGATGAGATCCTCGGGTATCTTTAGGATGGAGGTGACTGAAACAGCAGTTTAAGGCTTGAGGGAACGACACCAGATTTCTGTGAGGGTTTAATGACATTCAGCACTGGACAAAGAACAGGCTTCCTAGACTCTCCAGGGAGCATATCGAAGGCTCAGCCTAAATGACTAGACCCTTGGAGACAATTCACAAGGGTGTAGGAGGAAAGGCAGCACTGGTGACAGCCTAAGGTACATGGTAAAACAGCTTTTTGCTCTACACATCTCAGGGTGGCAGCGGTGGTCCTATATCTGAATATAAGAAGGCACAACAATTAACAATTTGCAAAACTCACCTGTCAGCACCCTTTTGTGCTGCATGTGGGCCTCGACTGCCTCTAGACACACAAAACGGGAAATCAAACCTGTTCATATCTGTCAATGTTTGGTTTTAGGAATTATTTTTCTCCAACAAGCTTTTTCAAAGTTTTCTTTTGTGAAATCAAAACAGAACCACCTCTTGTGCAAGAGAGAGCCGCTGCTCTATTCTGAGCTCCTCCAGGATGTTGGAGCTTCTCAGCTTATAGCAGCCTGAGTGGGAGGAGGGGTGGACGTGACCAGCTCAGAAAGTACTGAAACAGTCAAAAATAGAACTGCTGACATAGCTTTATGTGAGCGGGAATTAGTGCAAAGAACTTCATAGACACGTTTTTTATCGAACATAGAACTTTTATAGGAAAAAGTCATAAAAATATGTCCCCTTTAACATTTTAGTAAGTTGCATTTGTCTTACTTACTCAAGTATTACATTAGTTTACTTAAATGAATGATGCCATCAACATTTTCTTCGTAAAATTCAAATGCATTTTTCTAACTCATCCAACAGTTTAAGTGCTGTGGGAGTTTCAGTTCATCTGACTGGGCAGAGAACCAGTGGATTCACTTGGAATCTGCAAAAGGTCGAGTTGTTCCTGACAGCTGCTGTAAGACTGTTGTAGACTTGTGCGGCACAAGGGATCACCCCTCCAACATCTTCAAGGTGGAGGTAGGAGCATGGAGCTGACACCTTTCTCTGTAGATTGAGTTTGAGTGCTGCAGGAATGCATGTACACATTTATTACGTCTGTTTGTGGTGAGACAGCGGCAGCGCTCCCACATCAACATGAACACACGCCTTTTTTTTAATTTAGGGGGGCTGCATGACTAAACTGGAGAAATTCATCCTGGACCATCTGAAGATAATTGGAGCTGTGGGTGTTGGGATTGCTTGTGTTCAGGTGAGTGCAGGTTTCTACAGCATGAAGAGACACTAAGCAAACATAATAACGCATGTTTTCCTTTCCTGCCTCCAATCCTCAGATCATTGGGATGGTGTTTACAGGCTGCCTGTATAAAAATCTGAAGACTGAGCCATACTAGAAGACAAGAGTATGAGTGAAGGTGGTAACTCCGTCACTACTCAAATAGCTCATCGGTTCTTTCTGTGCCTTTCACACTGGGGAAGGAAAACGGCAAGAGATTTAATTGAACATCTGAGGATCTCATTTTAGAAAACAAAGGAACAAAAACACGACAAAGTCCTTTTTTAAACGTAATTAGGCTCTCAGATTGCCATCTCAGCTACGTCTTCAGCATTGCAGTGAGAAAAAGCCTCTGAGAGGAACTGATGGGAGTGTTAACACAGATTGTTTAAATTAGTGTAGAATAGCCTCTTTGGGACTGAACACTGTAGTTTTTTTCCTGCTCTGCTTCCCACAAATGTACTTTTTATTATACGGGGAGCAGGCAGAACAACCAAAGAGACGTGTAAAGATCAGTAGAGTAAATCTGACACTTTGCAGAAGGTGTTAATCCAGTTCAGCTTTTCTGTACCAGAAACTTGAGCTTTACTCAGGTCTCCCCTGCAAATCCAAAGACCTCTTTATGTCCACGCTACTTATCAAGTCATGCATTTCAAGTCTGTTCATTAGGATGGCTTTTTTAAACTTTCTATCTCTTGTAAAAGGTCATGTCCTTGAACGTTTAAGGTGCTCGCCTACTAAGTCATTTTTCTTATTTTATTGCCTAAAGTGTCCTGTTTTTATCAAGTTCTGTGTAATAAATGCGCTAGTGTCTGAACACATCTGGTTTGTTTTCAAGCTGATTTAAGTCCGTTATGAATGTGCAAGCAGCTTCACTAGTGGTGCTCTTCTCCATCAGTATGCCAAAGTTATCTTAGCTGTCAAATGAAACCAGCTGTGTCATTCAGCCTCTACCACACATCTACTGTTCTTATCAGCTTGTTTTTCTTAAATTAATATCTTATGTCATAGATCTTGCTGTATTCATGTATTCAACACGTCATCTAACAGAAATATATTCCCACATGTGATCATTTTGTTGTTCCTGTTGAACATTTCTGAATCAACCTGCTGTTTTTCTGTTTTTGTAATAGTTTTAGTTTGGAAAAACATTTATGTCACTCATGTTGTGTTTGCCTTCTCATCATGATGTATTTGAATGTTCTGAAACTGAACAAATGCCATCATGCCACAAATGTCCTCACAGCACCCTGCCCCCTAAAAAAAAAACAAAACAAAACAACAAAACACTTAATTGTTTGCACAAAAAAAAAACACATGCCTGTAGCCAGTGGCCCTTGAACAATTGGCAGCAGCTTACAGGTGCATTAGTGAATTGACCAAAGTCAATTCCCTAATGTTACAGCACCCTGCCTGTTGTCAGACCGATGTGGGATGGGTGCCATTTTCCCGACGGATGCTCTTGAAGTGCATTATAGCCTGTAATGGGAGTTTCTCTGCTGTCAAGTACAAGGCCGAATTGTTTGAGCTGAGATGATGCTCCGAGTCACCGTGCATCGGTGTGGATACAGCAAACAGCCAGCAGTTACTGTGTGCAAACACAAGGAGGCAGCACTCACTAGGCTTTCACTGCTTCAAACCCACAGCCTTGTAAATTGTGTGAGTGCGTGTGTGTGTGTGTGTGTGTGTGTGTAAGTAAAACACCTTCAGGTTATTGTAGATTACCCTTCCCCAACTCGCCCACTTACCTCTGTCATAGAATGACAGAATTATAAAGCTGGTAAATAAAAAATAATCCCTTTAGCATTCAGCTACATCTGCTTGGTTATGCCTTTTATTATTTCACAAACGTGCTTTGTTTAGCTTCACTAAAATGAGCAGTAAGGGTATCATTGTGCTTCACCTTTTTAAATGATATTCAGTGATACTGTTAACAGTACAGCTGTGTGTGCGGCTGGCTGCAGTGCAACACTTCCTGTCTGTAGCAGCCACATCTGGAGCAGCGACGCAGCAGGAGTTGGTGGTCACACTGCCTTTGAAGGTGATCTCAGGTGCACCTTGTAAAAGCTGAGTCATGCCTGGTGTAATGAGTAGATGACTTCTCCCTCTCATAAAGGTGATTGTTTTGAATTGGAGTGCATGTAGTTGAACACGTGGAGATTTTTTTAAAGGGGCACATTTTAAGACACATCTGTGGAATGGGAGCCATCTGTTTTGCCTTTTGCTGTTGGCTGAGTTTGACCTGAAATAGATGACAGAAATGATGATGACCCTTTGAACAAACACCTCTCAGGACAGATTCATCCTGCTGAAGAAAACTAATAAATCCTCTGCCTTGATCATCTCAGGCACCTTTCCCTGTTATATTTGCTTATAGTGACAGTCTAACATGTAGTGTGTGCTATTAAGGCCAGTGCATGATATTTCCAAAATATCTCCTCCAGTTCTTTTTCTAAACAGTTGTCTCTTCGATGCATGTGCCACCTGCATCATCTGAGCCTGCTAGGGTCCATCCTGCAGAAAGACCTGCTATTTTCAGTCTGGGGGAGGGGCTTGTGCACCCCTCACCTCCCACCTTTTGCCTGGTAGCTGATCTCAGTTCCTCCAGATCAAGGCTGTGCTGCAGCTAGTCTGCAGCTGGTGACAGAAAGAGGGTGAACATGCAGGTCTTTATTTACAGTATTTGGGGACTCTAAAGGCTCAAACCTGCATCTAATCTCAAAATGTCATACTTTGGTCATTTTGAAGTAATTCTGTGTGATATTTCTTTAGCCTCTATTCAGATGAATAGTTTTTAGGGACAGGGCTGTGTAAGTTTATTCCTGCTGTGCTTCAACTCTGCACAATTGGTAATTCCTGTTTTAGGATGTTCTTTGACCAAAAAACAGATACATTTTGGCTGGATTTGATCCAGGGTTTCACAAAAAACATGATGCAAAATTTGTGTAAAGGTTTGTAGAAGTTTTGCAGGAACCTCTATGAAACTTGGAAGTTTGGCACCAATTAAAGACTACATTAATTTTGGTCTCAGCTGTGCACCAACTAGTCATTAGATTGAGTATTGTAGCGTTAAGAACGGCATGTAATGTAAGGTCATCAGGCATTACACTGTCCAGCCATCTCCATTTCACCTAGAAACAAATGTTCTTTCTAACCATCACTCCATAAGCCAGCCTCACCTTCTGGGGAACAGGCATAACAAAATTCCTCTCCTGCTTCCTAATCTTGTCACGTTGAGAGCAAGGAGGTGGTTGTTAGGACCCAAGATGCAGATTACCCCAGAAGACACGAGGCAGGAGCATTTAAAAATAAATCCTTTATTTAGGATGAACTAAAAATCCAAAGGGGCAGGAAGCCAAAAACAAAAATCCTGAATCAGGAGAACAAAAGCTCACATAGCACACAAAACCTGAAGACTAGAACTAAAGCGCACTTAGAGCACAAAACCTGGGGACGAGACGCAAAGCTCACACAGAGCACCAAAACAACGCTGACAACAACAATGGACCGATAAGACACTGAGACAAGACAGGGCTTATATACACTGGGGCATGATGGGAGGCAGATGGGCTGCAGGTGTGTGGAGAGAGAACCAGGTGAAAGCAATTAACTAATCAGGCAGGAAACTAACGTGACCTAAGAGTAAAGAGTAAAAAAAAACAACCTTAAGACAAGATGAGCAGCAAAATAAACTAATATTCTAAGGGGATGGGAAACTACAAAAACCTGTGGAAAAAACATACTAAAGAGACTAATAAAATGAGGAGCTGAACCTATAAAAAAACTGCAGAGGGGTGACTGGGGAGATGGAAGGAACACAGAACCTGGGAGAGCAACCTGGAGGGCTGAAGACCAGGGGACACAAGAGGAACACAAAAGAGACACATAAGGGGGATTCTTAGGGGGGAATGGAGAACACAAGAAGACACGTGAGGGAGACGCAGACCATGACAAATCTCAGCTGCAAGTGACAAGTCGTCTCCACGAGGAGACATGACTCTTAACCTTCATAAAATAATCATTTTTTTCTATACAATTATTTTATTACTTTACAGATTAAGTAAAATCACAGAACAATGAGTGTTTTATCCAAAGTTAATTTAATGTGATGGACAGAAGACGGAAGCTGCCGAGCTCCGAGGGTGTGGTGATTGGACACCAGCTGGTCCTCGTTATGGATAACGAGGCCAGGGAGGATAAAAGGGTGACAGACCTACTGAGAGGTGCGCGTGGTCGACCTGTCATTGTGGCATCGGACTTTGGGGGGTGGGGTCGTTCGCAGCCGGGTAGGGCTGCCGGCGACGAAGATAGCTGAACAGGTGTTTAATGTTCCAGCGCCAGGAGGGAAGGCTGGTCGCCTTCTTTAGACATTTAGGGCTGGGCATAGGTGATGCCAAGGCCGCGCCGACATCTGCCGCTACGGACTCTGGCAGTGGACTTATGTTGTGGATTTACCCGCCGTCCTCGCAAGCTACACCCCGGGGCGTTGGACGGCGTTGGAAGCTCAGACCCCGGGGACGGGGGTCACACCATCCGTGACAGCTAAGTACCGCTGCTTATGTGACTCATGCTGGACAGTTGGTTTTAGAAGAGAGGGCTTGGGCCATGGTGTTTTATCGTTGTGTTTTATTATTGATTGTGCAATAAAGTGTGTCTTTTATAAGTCGTTGCCTACTGGTGGTGTGTTCAGGTTCTGACCGGAGGGCAAGATATTCTGCCCGTGCTGCCCACGGCTACTTTTATTACATTAATAAGACTTGATTACTTGGAAGTAATGATTGAATCAAAGTAACTGTTTGCTGTTGAAATGCATTATTTTAGATCCTAAATACATCAAATACTTGATGAGTTAAAGATGATTTTATTATCAGGCACGCTACATATTAATGTCACTATATTAACAATGACAGTTATATCATACTTAGATTGTGATAGTAAGTGAAACAGTTTCTTAAATGTCTCTCAGGAAAAATGTAGAACAGAGGATTTTGATAATGCCTCCTACATTTTTCCTGGTCTCTGATTGGTCCAACACAGACCTTAAAAGTTAGACACACACTCTTTTCCAAGAGTTCCAGCCAAAATGTTAACTTAACACCTTTTGTGACATCAAGCCAGATCTTACAACAGAACACTTTTAGCTGCATAGAACCACCGGTTTCAGAACCAAACAACCATTATTAGTTTTAACCTGCTACAACTTTATCAGACGCTAACCAACCCGTCAGCCTCCAGCAAAAGTGAACTTCTATACCAGAGAGTAACCTCAGACTGGCCGAGCTGGAGGGACTGGAGAGACCTTTGACCTTTGAAAATCCCAGAAGTCCAGCATTTGAGACTGAGGGGACTCAGCCACTCCTCAGTCCTGTCGAGACTGACTTTGCTTTGCCAGCTGGACCTAACAGGAACTCTCACTGGTACAGAGGACTCTGCACACTGGCGTCGGATGGGTTATGATTAATTGATAACTAATCAAGCATCACTAAATTCAGCCAGATTACTCTTGTAATCCCAGACTTCACATCTTTCCTAAGAAGCTTAATTAGCCTCTTGATAACATCCGTGATCATGTTTCATTAGAGTTTGGTTATCTGATATTATCTTGAATAATTATTTACCTCCATTTATTCTGTTTAATTATTAGTTGTAGAAATATAGTAAAGAAACAGATTTTTATAAACTATCTTTTTGCTTCTGTGTCAAATTATTAAGTGCTGGTTCCCTGGTTACTCAGTACCTATGTCCACTGTCAATCACATATCAAAGGTCCGACATCATTAATGATTCATAATTAGATGGAACATTAGATTTTGTTATATTT